TCTTTCCCTGCTGTTACAGATGGAAGACAGCGAGGAAGAGGAGCGGAAAGAGGAGGAATTCAACGTCATCCCTCCGTATTCTGAGAAGGACTCTAACATTGATTCGGGGGACAGAGGGAGTCAGCGAGGAGCAGCCAGCCAGACACTACCTGTGTTACCATTATTGCTGCTGCCTACGCTCATCCTGGACTGGGAGTGTTGGTGCTGCTGATGTCCCTGTCTCATCCTCTGCTTGTATTTTACACTCGCTATCATTTTCACAACTATCACAGCCCTCAGAATGAACCACAGAGGACTAGTGTGAAAGGAAAGAAATGGAAATGCTTCTCCTCAACATTTCTTTTTCTTTTTTTTTTTTTTTAATATCCCCACTTGTGATTTGTTTCTCGTATTACTGCCTCTTCAAGAGTTAAAAGATAACTGCAGTCCTGCTGTATCTGCCACATCTTTGCTTGAGTCCTCTCTGAATGGAAGGGTACAACATGAGTAGGTACATGAGTGCATGGGTGAATTAAGAATTGCTGCCTGGGCAAATAGAGCCTGCTTCACACTCAAGTACACCCCCTCTTTTAACAAAAAGCACATCGCCCAAGGCCACATCCACTATACGTGCTCCCAAAAAGCATAACAAGTCGACTCCACTGCATCTGGGCCTGAGCACAGGTTTTGATTTCTATTTCATGACTTGTGTCACACCCGTTTCTCTGTTGCACCCCAGGGCTCTTCCTCTCCATCCCCCATATTGTGGTTCAATAAGTAATATCACTGTACAAGAAGCCGATAAGTAACTTCACCGGACTTAAACTGCTTAAAAAAATACGTTTTAAAATCACTTCATTTAAAAACCTGATAGGACGTGTTGTCACATTTTGTATAGGAGATCTTTTGCCTTTTCAGCCTTTGGTCCTTCTCACTTTGTGCACCAGAAAGTACAACAGTCACACTGCTCTGCTTCTTTTGATACTACACCACTTAGTATTATTCCCACCAGGGTGAGAGACTGAGATCTCAACCACGGGCAAAAGTAATAAGAGCAAATTCTATTGTAGCAATGACGAGCAGAGAAAAGCAACATAAGCAATTACAACGCAACTCAAATTGTTCAGCATGCAGGGAAAGTCTGGAGTAAGGCTCAGGGGAGGGAGTAGCCAATTTACCGCTGTCATACCCTCTCACTTTTTTTTTCCTTAGGAGATGTGTTTTTAGTGCTTCTTCTCTATCTGTAGCTTTAGATGTTGTAAGAGCGCGATGCGGAGATAGAGACGGACACAGGAGGCTGTAAAGCCTGCTGGCTGTTTTAATCATTGAGCAGCACATTGAGCCATTCTCTCTGCCTGAAATATCTTTTGCTGATGTTAATGATTTTTTTCTCTTATGGCTCATTTTCTTGTGAAATTATGCAGCTGCGGGGGTGTAGGTAAAGAGAAGTGTAGTGAAGTTTTTCAAGATAAACTTGTCTAATCTCAGGATGAGTTTGCAAGAAATGACCCTGCTGAGCTCTAGAAGGAAACTTTCTTGTATATGTTCATTTTTATTAAATCTGATTCTGATTTTTAGGAGTCAGAGTTTGCCTTGCAGCTGTTACCTGCTTCAAGGCAACATGACATCATGTAGCTTTCTGACCATATTCTCATTAGGGGTTTGTTCCACGAAGCTAAGAAGTAGATGAGAAAAAGGCCAGTTAACAGAACTCTGAAGTGTGACTACAAGTTTAGCAGGTACAAGTCTGGTATCCAGGTACGTGAACTAGAACCAGACACATTTTGATCATAAACATGCTACAGAAACATTACACATGTCAGTGTTGCAGCTGCAGTGAGTCAAAGTTTCAAATGAACAGCATCCAGTGACAAGTGACAATATCCGGTGCGCTCTGGCCTTAATGACTGAATGTGAGTTTACATGTATTTTCACATTTCAGTAGGTTTGTGTATATTTGTAAACTATGTAAAGTAAATGTTTCCATCATACACAGCTTGTATTTTTAACCATTTGAGGAGTTTAAAAGAAAAAAGTTATTCTCCATTCAGAAATGAACTTCTATAAGAAAATGTGACGATTTCCCAGTTTATTCACTTCTTAGATCACATTTTGAAAATCCAGTTGAGAATCTAAGTACAGTAATGAGCTTGACACAGTAACCTTGTCTAAAATACATATCAAACATTGAACATCATATCATTCTTACTACGCTTATAATGTGTAATAACTGTGTAATTTTGTGACAATTTGTTAAAAGAAAAATAAAAGCCACACTGGAATGTAACAGAAAAAAATCCGCTTTGCTTTAAATGTCTAAGAAATGGCCGTGCTGTGTGTGACCCTCTAACATTTAATATATTTTTTCTCTTAACATGTCATTTCATATGTGGCACAAAGAGGCTGAGATACTCTGATGGTATTAGGAGTGTTGTTGACTAGTGTAGTGACAATTTCGGTGCAAACTGATGAGTGAATTGCCCTTTTTGAATACATATTAAGATGTACAGCTTTCATACCATTTGTTTTGATTAAAAGCCTGAACGGTTTGGATCTGTAAATAAAAGATAAATCACTGGTTTTCCCTAGCTCATAGCCGCTTTGGGCAAACTTAGCCGTTACTCTTGTGTTTTTATTTAACTTCTGACTGACGGAGGTGATTATAGGGTCTTGGGCTTGTACAACCAAAATGACACCACACTGGCAGGAACAAGCAGCAGTGGAATGAGTTTGAAAAAAAAAGAGAGAGGCTGTAACGAAAACAGAACCCAGGCTGCACTTTAATTATAAAGCGTACAACATGAGGGCTTTGGGCCTTTGTTTTTATCTCCAAATTCAGCCAACTGTCAACAAAGTTTTGTTAAGCTTTTTTAAATCCCTGAGGAAAATTTATCTTCTGCATTTGAACCGTCCAAACTATTTAGGAGCAATGGGCAACCACCAAGCTCTCAGGGTCTGAGGACAGCAGCTTAAAGAACAGTAAAATTCAGCTTGTTTAGTACAAATCACACAAATGCCACAGTAACACACTTTGTAAACAGCGGTATTGCTGTTGCCATTTCTCTATTTGAGCACTAAATCGCACGCTGTTAAATAAAAATCACTGTAAAATTAAGTCTTATTGTTTTGCTACATTAGAAATAAGAATTTCAATCACATATAATTAGTGCTATCTTTAAACTTATTTTGAGGTAATGTGGTGTCAACATTTTAAATCAACTACATTACTAGGCTGTGATAACATTAACAAAATGCCCTTTTCACAACATTTTGACCTGTCATAGGAAAAGCACAGATGCCAATAACAACATAATCAATGGCTGTGTTGTATTCATGTGTCCCAGTAAGTCATGACAGTGTGTCGGTGAGACAGCATGCACAATACCAGGGCACTGAAACTGAAGCAGCCATCACAAATTTTATATTTTACACCTGTGCGTTTCCTCTTTGAAAAGGACTTGATGTTCATTGTTATGGACTGCAGAACTTAAGTTATTTTCAAGAGCCAGCCGCACTGTAAGTGGTGGTACTGAGGTGTCTCTTATTTGGCACCATTACTACGTCTGATAGTGTTGTGTCTCTGTGTTCAGGGCTGAGATGTGCCAGTTTTTATGCCACTTTATGCTCTGTTTACAATGACACATGTTCCGTCATTCACTGCTTTGGTAAAGTTGCTGTTATGGGGTAATGCAGTGCAAACTTAGTTCGAAGTGTGCTTTTTGCATTTCAAACTCTAATGAAATGAATGCCAACAGCTGCCTGGAAAAGTACAGGATGGTACAGCCCTGTCTGGGTTCAGACTCAGGACCTTATTTCTGAGATGACAGTTATCACAACTGAGCCACTATACTGCCCCAGGAGGCTCTTGAGCTGCCTAATATCCCAGCACTGTCCTCTTAATATATATAAAAGATAAGTAGTTATGTTAATGCTGTTATTAATTAAAGAAATCAGTGCAGTCATTTGCAAAACAATCTGTATGTCCACATACAGTAGTTGTCTTCACATGTTACATGGAGTGTATTAATTTGAACTCAGGCATGAACTCAGAATTTAAAGCACTGGGGAAAATGAGGTTTTCTTATTAATATGATAATTTGTGCAGCAAGAAACTCCACTTTAATCAGATCACCCACTTAGTTTCTCTACAGATTCTAATATTGTGTGCTGTTCTTGTGTTAATGGTTTGCTCCCTAATGTGTCACTACAGAGAGACTCACTCTGTGAGAGTGTAAATACAAACCAGATTTACCCATAACATTACATTTTAGTGGAGCTAGATTATCCGATGAGAATGCCTGGAGGCATCAAGTTAACTAGAATTACCGCCTTGCAGCACCCAGTCACTTTGACCTTTGGCCTTTGGCCACCAAAATCTAATCCATTCATTCTTGAATCCAAGTGGATGTTAGTGCCAAATTTTAAGAAATTTACTCAAGGACTTGACAGATGACCGGTCAACCCAAAAACATAGTATCTCTCTACACCAGCAGTCGCTAGTTTAATTACTTTATGTACAGTGAGGTACATAAAGGGCCAAAAGATGAATCTGAGATGATTAATTAAGCTACACAAAACTACACAAATCACTTTTTGGACCACTTTCTAATTTTTGTTTCTTGTAACATATTATAAAGTTATTTGGTGAAATGTCTTTGGTGGAACAGCTAACAACCCATAGATACCTGAAACATGACAAGCAACTGCTGCAAGATACTGTGTGAGAGTCACAGGTTTACTCTTTAACTTTATCTTGTGTTTTATCATAACATTTTATTACAACATATTATGAATATAGAATCTAACACATTTAATAAGAGTAACAAGAAAATTATCAGTACAATATTCCCCTTCCCTGAAACATAGAATAATTTTAAAGCAGCAGAAAAATAGTCACAGGTTTACTCTTTAACTTTATCTTGTGTTTTATCATAACATTTTATTACAACATATTATGAATATAGAATCTAACACATTTAATAAGAGTAACAAGAAAATTATCAGTACAATATTCCCCTTCCCTGAAACATAGAATAATTTTAAAGCAGCATAAAAATCTAAACCATGGGTGGCGAATCCTGGTCCTCCGCGTGTTTTCCAGTCAGTCAGAAGTTGAATTCATTTTGTCTTTCCTCACTCCATCTTCATCTAAGATGGTATCTTCCAGATTCTAATTGACTGAACACACTCAGCAGCCTTCGAGGACCAGGATTAGCCACCCCTGATTTAGAATAACTGTTATGCATTTGTGCTTTCCTTTTATGACAAGCCAAAGTGTCCTCAATGAAGTGGCCGCCCTTTCCCACCACCTGACCAGTCTCCTGCTTCCTGTACACACCTGCTTGCTATTAGTCATCAGCCCCAATAAAAATGTTATACCCCAGGCAGCATTCTCCTCCTGGTCAGCTCTTTATCCAGTTAATTTTTCTGTGTTTCTGGTTGGCCTATACTGAGTTCTCCCTGCAATGTGTTTAGTGTCTTTCTGACAGAGCTTTTTTTTTTTTTTTTTGCTAATGACTGGTAATCACTGGGTAAGTGCAGGCTTTTTGTACTTCTACTTCTTGAGTCTGCATTTGAGGATTTTTTTCCTTGGAGTTGTTATAGTATTTTGTGAATTTAATATTAACCAAAATGTTGAGTATCTTCTGAGTCTCGGCTGCTCCAGCTAAGTGTAGTTCTTTCTTTGATAGTCTTACAGCTGAAGTGGGTTCTCATTAAAATATCCAAGGATTACAGAACCAACAACCTTGTACTTTCTAGCTTCTGCCAAAAATAGAACTGCTGAAGTTTTGCGAATAGCTCTGGTAGACAGACAGACGTCACAGCAATACAAACCGTTTCTCATGCAACATAATGAAGAGAATAACATAACTATTGCAAACTTTTCCAGTAAATCCTTTTATCACTTTAAAGATCGACTGGCTTGACAAGTGTCTGCAGACTTTATCATTATCAAACAGCATTTGATGGTTTCACTCACTAGCACACTTTGAATTAAAAAGGGCAACCTAACCTGTGAAGCCAAGTACAATGCTGGGTTTGTTTAAAAAAACAAACAAACATTTAGCTCTGCTTTTTATGAGAATAGTCATAGTTGTGTGTTGTTGTGTTTAAAAGGTTGTTCCTTTTGTGAGCATATTGGACCCTTTACACTAACCATGATGTACAAATGAACTTCAGACTCTTGGTTTCCAGACTGATGTTTTACAGTTCAGGTATTCCACTGATCCGAGTGAACTTACTAGTGAGGGGATTCCTCCTAAAATCAATGATCATGTCTTAGTTTTAGTTACATTCAACTGGAGGTAAGTCCTCACACCGCTGAACAAATGCGTCGGTAACTGGCCCATGACTGGTCTCATCTTCTTCAAGCAAACTAATGATGTCATCCACATATTCAGTAATGGCTGAATGTTACTTTGTTTTTTGCTTCTCTTTCATGGTGCCTTCTTAGGTTATTTAAAGGAGTAGTTCAACATTTTGGGAACTATGGTTTGCCAATCCTTAATCTTAAACTGTCTGATTCTCTACTACATTTTGGAATCATTAGTTTGGTTGCATTAAAATGTATTTGTAGTAATAATAATAAAATCAAACTTTTATTTTAAACTTTATAGATTGGAAAAAGTTCTTGTGGACACTTGAACAATGTGGTGAAGATGAAAAACAAAGTAGACCTGACCTGCATGATTTTTGTGTTCTTGCCAATCATAATTTGCCCTGCAAAATTCCTTAATTATTGTGACAGCTACCTGATGCCCTCAAATGATTATTGCTAGGGCTTTCAAGTTCATTATGATGTTGGATTTTGCTAATTATTCACAAATGCATCATCAAATACTCAAGCCTTACAAAACTAACAAAACCAAAAAGAGCAAAGACACATCTTGCCTTAAAATGTTCTGCAGCTGTTACTATAGCTATGAGGCAGATTTCTGTCAGACAATTAAAGAATGATGGCACACACTTATTTTCATCCATGTGTGAGAAACCTTGATTGTAATGTGCTCTGATAGTTTGGGAAGGGGGTGGGGGGTACTTAGAATTTAAGATGATTGCATTTGAGAAAGAGGGAAGGTCCCCTGACGTGAATCTGTTACTGGAGGCAACATTCACTTATCACATAGAAAGTGTTAATGTGAATAAACTGAAAAATCCTTATTTGAGCACATGTAAACTATAACTCCTGATGCAAACAAAAAGCTCATGATCAATTTCAGGAAATGTAGCTAGTGAGTGAATAAATGATGCTTTCACGGTAAGTCAGACTGAGCAGGTATGGGCCTTCAATGCAACAGTCTTGGCTTCACTGGCAGTTACTAGAAAATCTAGCTTCCTGGAAAAAGGGATCATAAATAGGAGGTCCAGTTCAATAATCTGTAACTTTTGTTCTTAATTTTCTTTTGCATGCTTTTGTTGTTTCACCAGACATATGCCAAGGATCTGAAGTGCCATGGTGCCATGGCTTTCTGTGGTTCATTGTGTCCCTCATTAAGGTATTAGGAAAAAGTGCAATAAGATTTTAAAAGTAATATTCAAGAGAACAAAGAAAAACAAGCTTTGAAAATGTG